AAGATAAATAAAGAAAGCAAGATTACTAAAAAAAGAAACTTAGAAGATAAACAGGAAACATAAAGAAACAGCCAAGATAGTTTCCTAAAATGAGTTTAGGGAACTAAGCCCGAAAAGGCGGAGCTGGTTAAGGGTGGGAGCCGCCCTTTATGGGCGCGGGTGGGCAAAGAAAATGACCCGGCCGACACAAGGCCCCATTCTCAAGAGCTCTCGAGCGTATTCCGAGGCCGAAACAATCCGAATCGAATTTGCATGCCCAAGCGGCAAAATCATTATTGCTGTCCCTCTCGTAAACCCTAAACCCCAAACCCTAAACCCCAAACCCTAAACCCTAAACCCTAAGCCCGAAGCCCGATACCCTAAACCCTAAACCCTAAACCCTAAGCCCTAAGCCCTAAGCCCTAAACCTTAAACCTTAGCCCTAAACCCCAAACCGCAAACTCCAAACCGCAAACCTCCACGAAGGTGGGTGCAGGAGCCGAACGAGACGTGGGGCTGCGATGCCCTCTTTGAGGACAGCACGGTGGCTGGGTTTTTGAAGAGGGGTTAGGCTTGAGGGTTTAGAGTTTAGGTTTAGGGTTTAGAGTTGAGGGTTGAAGGTTTAGGGTTTAGGGTCTCAGGCTGAGGGTTTAGGGTGTTAGCGTTTAGGGTGTAAGATTAAGTGTTTCAGGGTGTAGGGTTAGAACCCGGAAGACCTAAACATCCTAAAGCCCTAAAGCTTACAAGCTGAATCCCTAGAAGCACTAGAACCCCCAAAGCCCTGGAGCCCCTGAAGCTCAGGCTAGAGAGGGTTGAGGGTTGCAGGGTGTAGGGTTTCGGGCTTAGAGTGAGCCCAAGCCCTAAACTCCCAAGCCGTCTAACCCTCTGACCCTGAAAAATCCTCCAAAGCTTTCCTGTATGCGTGTGGCTCCCACTTTTTTGGTGTGCCTCAAACAACTGGCCTCAAGAACCACAGGGGTTTGCAGGACGTCTAAAGATCACGAGGTTAAGGGATGTTTGGGTAGAATCTCTGAACCTTCAAAACCCCAAGGTTTGGGGTTTAGGGTGTTTAGGTTTAGGTTTTAGGGTTTAGGGTTTGGGGTTTAGGGTTTAGGGTTTAGGGTTTAGGGCGAAACCAGCAGAGTGATATGCAGTCCAAGGCCCCGAAGCTCGGCATGTCGCCCAGCTGCAGCTTGTCGGAGGACATGTTCCATCTCCAGGCACTCCCGGGGGGGGGGCCGTTCTAGGGACTAGGGTTTGGGGTTTAGGGTTTTTTTGAGGGGTTTCGGGTTTTCAGGGTTTTTTGGGTTTCTTTTTTTTTTTTTTGGGGGGGGGGTTCTGCGTTTATGGACTCCAGGCACTCCAGGGTGGGGGGGTTTTAGTTCCATGGGGCCTCCCAGCGGTTTGGGGATGTGTGGGATGTTTAGGATGTATAGGGTTGAGGGGTTTAGGGTTTAGGGCAACGGCTGTGTGGAGGGTTGATGTTCTTCCGGGTTTTTTTGGGATGGGTGTAGGCCCTTGTTGTGTCGGTGTGTCTGCAGGCGTTCTTGGGCCCTGCTGGCACTCTTTCAGCAGGGTTGTTCATGGTCCCCAAGGGGGGCCCTAAACCCTAAACCCTAAACCCTAAGCCCTAAGCCCGAAGCCCGAAGCCCTAAGCCCTAAGCCCTAAGCCCTAAACCCTAAACCCTCAGCCCTCAACCCCAAACCCTAAACCCTGTTCCGACCCTACCCTGTTAGGGTTCGCTTTGCAGGTGGTCCTGGGCGTGCGCGCGCACCTGCAAGTGGGCGACATGGTGGCGCTGCAGTTCGGAGTGTTCGTCCCCGCCATCGGCGTCTACTTGACCCTTGGGCCTCGACTTCAACTCCTGAACTCCCTAAACCCCCAAAACCTCCCTAAACTCCCCTAAACCTCCCTAACCTCCCCTAAACCTCCCTAAACTCCCCTAAACCTCCCTAAACTCCCTGAACTCCCTGAACTCCCTAAACCCTAAGCCCCCCCGAGCCGTAGCTCAGCCCCCAGACCCTAAACCATGGTTTAGGGTTTAGGATTTAGGGTTTAGGGTTAGGGTTTAGGGTACATCCAGGCATCCACCAGTAGCATTCGGGGCTTCGGGTTTCGCTACTTCTGGATGTGCCCTTGAAACCCGAACCCCAAACCCCAATCCCTAAACCTAAACCCTAAACCCTAAAACCGCCCAAAGCAGAGGGGGCTACTTTGGGGCCACCCGAGACCTCAACCCTAACCCCCAAAGCCGGCGACACTGGGAGCGGCTTCGGGTTTAGGGTTTAGGGTTTAGGGTTTAGGGTTTAGGGTTTAGGGTTTAGGGTTTAGGGGTTTAGGGGTTGAGGGGTTTAGGAGTTTAAGAGTTTAGGAGTTTAGGGTTGAGGGTTTAGGGTTTAGGGTTTAGGGTTTAGGGTGCTGCACCGGGAAGGTTTGGCATTTAGGGTTTGGGGTTTTACTCTGAAGAGTTGTGGCGGAGGCCCCGTCCTTCTGGAACCCTTCAGAAGGCCCCTCAGACAACATGCTCCTGAATCTAAAACATGCCGGACCCAAGCAAAAGACCCTAAACCCTAAACCCTAAACCCACCCTAAACCCTAATACCCTATACCCTAAACCCTAAACCCTAAACCCTAAACCCTAAACCCTAAACCCTAAAGCTTGAGGCCACGGATGTGGAGGCCCCCAAGGTCATGAACTGGGTGGGTTGGAAAGTGTGTCGAGTGGTGGTGTGCGCGGAGCATCTGACACACCCTCAACACGAAACTCGAAGCCCTAAACCCTAAGCCCTCAATCCTAAACTCTAACCCCTAAACCACAAGCCCTAAACCGTGAAGCCAACCGGCACCTTTAAGCCCCCAAAGCCCTTAGCAGCCGAGGCCCACGGAGCTTGAGGAAGCAGCAACCACCCACGATGCCCCGGTGGCGGCTGCTGGGCCTCCACTCGGGGACCCAAAAAAACTACAGAAACATAAGGGTCCTACTATTGGGTCGAAGGGCCCCTGGGCCCCGTTTCAGGGGGATTCCGAGAAGCCCCTTGTTTGTAGGATCCTTGTGCTTATGTGGATGTTTTGGGCCTCTATTTACAGCAGCTCCCGGCTTTCCTTTCTTGGTTCAGGGTTTTTAGGGTTTAGGGTTTAGCGTTAGGGTTTAGGGTTTAGGGTTTACAGTTTAGGGTGTAGGGTTTAGAGTTTCATGTTTAGGGTTTAGAAATTAATGTTTAGGGTTTAGAGTTTGGGTTTCCACACTCCATGAACTCCACTGCAACACTGTAGGCCCTTGCATGGTGAGCTGTCTGGGGTTTGGCTTAGGATTTGGGCTAGGTGCGACTTGGGGCTTCAGGGTTTAGGGCTTTGCAGGTTGAAGGGGTTTAGGGGTTTGACTGAAGAGATCTTAAGACAAAGGGGAGGGAAGTTGAGCAATGTAACGAGACCTTCAAGCCTACACTAAAAAAATTCTAAGCCCCTAAAGCCCGAGCATTCCCAGGTTCACGCGGTGCTCGTCTCTCCGGACATCTCACCGATCTGCGCACGCCTTCGGTTCTCCACCGCACTGTCCACAGGCTTTGCCGGGCGTACCTTGGCTCCAACCGGGGAGCATTTGTCGAGATCAGGCTCCTCTTATAGGTGTACTTTCTAAGAGGATCCTAAATCCTAAACCCCAAACCCCAAACCCCAAACCCTCAACCCTAAACCCTGGGCACTGCGAGCTCGGGGCTTAAGCTGCAGTCATGTTTCGCCAAGCTAGACGTCCTAAACCCTGAGCCCTAAACCCTAAACCCTGAACGCTAAACCCTAAACCCTAAACCCTCCTTGAGCCCCCCTTTTCTTCATCCGCCAGGAGCCCCGAGCATCTCCTGGCAACTGGGCAACAGCACCCACGAGGAGCTCCTCTCAGCCCAAATGTATCGGGGGGCCTTAAGACTTAGAATAGGGTTTTTGGGGGTTTAGGGTTTAGGGTTTGGGGTTTAGGGTTTTTGGGGGGTTGCTATAGTATAATTTCATACAGGGGCCCTAAGGGAATACTGTTAGGAATTACTCCGACCCCTTCAATAGAGCATACCATCACTCGAGTACGAAGCCCCCCCCCCCCCCCCCCCCGCCCAAAAGACGTGGCCCGTCGAGGCCCCTGGTAAGTGGGCTGTCCTCTGAAGGCCCAAGGCCGAAGCCAAGAAACCACACAAGAAAGCCAAAGCACAGTCCCTAAACCCTCCTAAACCCTAAACCCTGAACCCTAAACTCTATACCCTAAACCCTAAACCCTAAACCCCTCCAGCAAAGCGGAGGAGCTTGGGAGGCTGCTGCAGCCGGTGCTGAGCGAGGCCAGCGACTCTGCCGACCAGGTCCTTGAGATCCCACCCGAGACGCTCTTCGCGGCCGTCTCTATGGTGCAGGCCAGAAAAACGGGGGTTTAGGGTTTAGGGTTTGGGGTTTGGGGTTTGGGGTTTAGGGTTTACTGTAGGGTTTAGGGGCATTGCACCTCTCACGGCAGTAACATGCGGTATGTCCAACAAGCACGTCGGTCGGAAGAGGACTGTGGAAAACCAAGCAATAGAAGTCAGAGTATGGCGAGGGCAGGGCCAGATTCTTGCCAACGAAGACGGTGACCGAAGCCGGTGAAACCCCCAGGTTCACCTGGATGAAACCTCCAGGTTCACCTGCAAGAAAGTGTCCCAGACATCCAAGATCACACGGCGTATATGGTGATAATCGTTGTTGATGAGACATGCTTACGTTCAACTTTACAATAAGTGTGTGGGATCGACCAGGGTGCGCTCGGCCTGTAAACCAGAGGAGCCTGGGCCCCTCGCCCCATCTCTTGGTGCTACTTCACCCGGGCACCCACACCCCCAGCAAGCAAGAGCAGCCACACTCTGGTGGAGTGGGGTTGGATGAACACTTGGCAAGACCACCATCTTCTCGGATCCACAACTCTTTTCCCTCCATACAAAAAAGGACCGGAAATTAGGTCGTGGTAGCGATGCCCGGAGTGCTGGCTGGCCTGTAATGATTAAGGGGACTGATGGCTATGCTAGACGGAGTGGTTTTTAATAACAGCAGAGTGGTGCCGGGTGAACAGCAGGCGCGTCGTGCAAGCAACATACCGAGCATTCAAGTCAGCACTCGGAAAGATGCAGCGGCACAAACGTGACTTGGGAGAAATGAGCTCAGGACACATGAGGCCCCAGTAAGCAAAACTGCAGGAAGAGGGCAACGAGTCTGAGATGTTGCTCGAAGTTGTGAGTACGATCACCAACTGGCATGGCGAGATGGATGAGGCAACTGCAGTGCTGACGGCTTCTTGGCCATTTATAGACTCTGTTTCCTTGATGCTCTGCCAAAGTCGTGCCTTAAGGTGCTCAACGTGGAGGAGCCCCTGCCGCAAATCATGCCTGCCATGTTCCCAGAGCTGGAGATCTGGCCGTCGGAGGAAGTAGAGATGGCGGTCCATGTCTACCCCACTGAAACTGCGGATTTCTGCCTGGACAGCATTCGCCGCAGCAATCGGGAGGACACCATCGTGCGCCAGGTTGGCAACGAGAGCAACGAGACAGAGGTGGAGACAGTGGTGGAGGAGCTACCGCCCGAGCCCGTCGCGCCTGCGGATCCTGGCGTGATCCTCATCCGCTGGGAGTACCGACGCCTGGATGACGGTGCCTGTTTCTGGGTTGCTCGCAGCAATGCGTCCAACGAAACGGACAACGCTTCCAATGACTCGAATTCTTCAGCCAATCTCTCCTGTCCTTTGATGTTCTGGCAGCTGGGTCCGGTAATTGTTGCGTATCTGTTCGGTTGGCGTTTGCATGGTGTCTTACAAGTAGGCTAAGTAAGGCACGGCTCTGTAGTATAGGGGCCCTAATAGTTAGAACAGGGTTTTTGGGGGGTATTCTAGTATAGTTATATAAAGAATACTATTAGTACTTATTCCGGCGCCTACATTCAACAAGCAATCCATCCTCCATGTTTGGGCTTAGGGCGACCCACATCTTATCGGCACCTGCGGCACACCCCCACTCCGAAATCCTTCCTGCAATCGAACACCCAACACGTCCTGTGGAAACAGCCCTAAACCCTAAACCCTAAACCCTAAACCCTAAACCCTAAACCCTAAACCCTACACCCGAAACCCTAAGCCCCTAAACCCCCAAGCCCCTAAACCCCAGATCCTGGCGCAACAGGCAGCCCCTGGACAACATGACCTTCGCAGACCAAGACCGGGACCCGAGTACCTTACTTAGCCAAGAGTTGAACTTTAGACTTTTCCTTTTTCTTTTAGTAGAATTTTCCTTTTTTGAGTAGGAATAGTACAGTTTAAGCTTTTTTTCCCTTGGTTGTTGGAGAAGTCAGGTACTCTGCGCTTTCCGGCCTTCAGCTTCGCGCCGAACTCCAGCCACCAGTTCCGGGCCGCGGCCGTCCGGCAGGTGCTGGGTTCTAGGGTCTGTAGGGTTTTCCAGGTAGGGTTTGAGGGATATCTTCTATTTTTCCCTTACTGTGTTTAAGGGTCATTTTAGAGGTTTCTAGGTAGGTTTTTAGGGATATCTTCTGCTTCTCCCTTACTGTGTTTGAGAGTCATTTAAGAGGGTTGCATGTAGGAAGGTTTTTCGGAGTGGGCCATCCTGTGGTTTGAGGGCATGCAGGGACAACAGGTAACTTCACGGGGCTTGGAATGCTCTGCAAGTGAGAAGCAGTAGAATTTTTGAGCCCCTGGATGAGTACCAATTAGGGAACGTTTCCTGCTCCCTCACCCCTAAAAGCCCCAAAGCCCCCAAGCCCCACAGCCCCAAAGCCCCTGTACTTCCCTAAGCCCACAGCCCCAAACCCCTAAACCCAAAGCATGCCCAGAGAAGGAATAAACCCTAAACCATACCAAGGATCCAACCCTCAAACCCTAAACCCTAAACCCTAAACCCTAAACCCTAAACCCTAAACCCTAAACCCTAAACCCTAAACCCCTAAAAAGGCATGTTCCTTGGTTAAGGCGTGTTGGGGGCTCTCTGGGTCCCTTGGGCTCAAGGGACCCTGTGAGGACCTCCCAGCGGGCAGCAACCGATCCACCGTGACCTACACGCTCAATGTCCGGCCCCGGTCCAGGCTCCCTCTCAGGGTTTAGGGTTTCATCTAGGGCGCTGTAGGTCTAAGCTCGCTCCTACATCCTCCAACCCCACAACCCTAAACCCTAAACCCTCAACCCTAAACCCTAAACCCCATACCCTAAACCCTAAACCTTAAACCCTAAAGCGCATCCCGACCCCCAAAGCCCGAAACTCCCGAAGAGGCCGCGCGTCTCGGTCTCGGGCCCTCCGGCTGCCTCGACGTCCTGCGCCTTCGTGCTGCGGGCCGAGGCGTGGGAGGAGGCGGGCGGGGTTTAGGGTTTAGGGTTTCAGGGTTTAGGGTTTAGGGGTTTAGGGTTTAGGGTGGGTTTAGGGTTAAGGGCTGGGCTCCTTTTTCTTCTTTTTTTCCGAGAGGCCGGGGCGATGGCTTCTGCGCCCTCTGCGGGGCATGGCAGCGGTGACTTCGAGTACCTGGGCCCTCATAAGAGGGGTTTTCACGGGAAGCCGCCTGCCTGGAGCCTAAAGCCCCTCCTCTGTTCCCACCAGGGCGTTTGGCTAAGGTATGCCTGGGGGTGCATGGTCGGGGTGATGGCGGAGATGAACGAGAGCGAGGTGGAGGAGGCAGAGCGCTGCATGCCCCGCCTAGCCGGCCTCTGGATGGACAGCCCTGAGCTGCGAGTGGAGGCAGGCGAGCTGCAAGAGGACAGCTACACCTTCGTGGCGCGCGTGCGGTGGCGGGGTATGGGAAGTATGGGGAGTCCTGAGGCGGAGGTGCAGGCGTCCTGGACCCTCAGAGTCGGGCGGCAGCTGCGACCCCTCGTGGCGCTGAAGGTGCCATGGAGATCGGATCAGGCGCTGTCGACATCCAGCCGGCATGTCGAGGCCGTGGCAGACGTCATAGGCAGCAGGTCTTGCCCCATCCCCTTCTGGCGCTGGCAGTGGGTCCTGATCAGCTCGAACTCCTCCGTCTTAGCTCGCCTGCGGACGATGAACGACACCTCTCTCGAAGAGCACCTTGGCATGGGTCGCAGCGTGTAGGTGTAGGACTCCACCCACGCAGTTTCCGTGTGATCCCTGTAGTCATGCTCGGGCACGTCGTCTGAGGCCTTTCGGCAACCTCACCCTCTCGACAGCAGATTTCCGAGCGGACCTCCTGATGCCGGGCCGTCGGTACGCCTACGCCCTTGTGGCTCACGATGCCGGCGTGCGGCTCCATCTGGAGAACTCGGCACTGTCGGAGCTGGAAAGTGCTGGGGCCTTTGTGTCCTGGTCCCACTTCTTCCATGCGGATGCTCCGCCTGCATTCGGTGTGGTCGAGTCGATGCCGCGCTCCGGCTTTGCAGTCTCCAGCGTCTTCACTCTGAATACCTTCGGATGGCTGGATGAGCAGGAAGATGGTCTCAGCTACGCCTTCTTCCGCTTCCCCGTGGAGACAAAAGGGGGGGGGGTTTAGTTCTTGCAAAGCCGTTCTTCTGACCTCCGTTGATTGTAACTCCCAAGATCCCATGCAGGAGAACGTTGAGGGCATGGGGCCCGACGCTTTTGCAGACGGGATGCCTGACACGGACTTCGAATGGAAGCTTCCCCGAACTGATTGGCACAATGTGTCCAGCCCGGACTACTTCCAGAAGCAAGGCAGGCCGTGGATCAAACTCCTGAAGCCCTGACCCTCAACCCTAAACCCTAAACCTTTAAATCCTAAACCCCAAACCCTAAACCCTAAACCCGAAACCCTAAACCCTAAACCCTACACCCCCAAATTTCACCCGCTTGAACCCTCAACCCGCCTGAGCCCTCGACTTCGGGGCTAAAGCTCTTTGAAGGTTTCCAAAGGCCTTTCAGCCCTGCCAAACGACACCCTAAACCCTAAACCCTAAAACCCTAAAACCCTAAAACCCTAAACCCTTAACCCAAAACTCTTCAGCCCTCAAGCCCTCACCCAAATTCTAAAGCCCCTCAACTCTCCAAATTCCCCCCCCCCCCCTCCCCCTTGTACCCTAAACCCTAAATCCCAAACCCTAAGCCCCAAAACCTAAACCCTAAACCCTAAACCCCAAACCCTAAACCCCCCCCCCTCCCCCCGAGGCGGGCGGCTGCTTCGCTCCTGGGCCTGGCCCTCAGCTGCCCCGAAGAGAATTTTAGGGTTTAGGGTTTGGGGTGTAGGGTCTAGGGTTTAGGGTTTAGGGTGTAGGGTTTAGGGTTTAGGGTTTGGGGTTTAGGGTTTAGGGTGTAGGGTTTAGGGTTTAGGGTTTGGGTTAGGAAAATGCGCAAGATCCACTTAGGCATTACCGCTTCAACCACGACAAGGGAACCTAAACCCCAAACTCTAAACCCTAAACCTTAAACCCTTTTGTGGCTGAGATTCTTGGTGCTTCTACACCTTCGGGTTGAGATTCCAGGGACCCTGTGATGATGTCGGGTACAATCTTCGGCACCCACTCGCGACGGAAAAGTGGAGCAGGTGTTCTTCCCTCATTCCAGGCGTGAGTTTCCCAGGCTCCCGAAACCTTCAACCCTAGACCCTCGACCCTAAATCTTAAAGCCTTAGACTCTAAACCCCAAGCTTTCACTATAAACTCTAAACCCAAACCTGAATCGCCCCTCCAACAACAAGGGATCCACAGTTTTCAGAAGCCCCATCGTCTTCGAGGCCAAGTCAAAGAGTGTCTCCGACGTCGCCATGGCGGCCGGCTCCTACTACCTGGCGCGGCTTTGGTTTTGGGGGTTTGGGGTGGGTTTGGAGTTCGGGGGTCGGGGGTGTAGGGTTTTCTGCCCTAAACCCCACACGCCCTTAACCCTAGATACCGTCGAAGGTTTCAGGACCTAGATTCAACACAGGCACCAACCCCGGTTTAGGTTTAGGGCAAGAAAGACAACCTCAACAATGGACACCTAAACCCAAACCCCAAACCCCAAAACCCTCAACCCTAAACCCCAAACCCTAAAGCGCCAAGTGCTGCAGGTGGTCCGTGCGCGCGACCCGCTGGGGGCGGAGGCGGGCGTTGTCGCCCTCCCTTGAAGCCTCATGAAGCCCCCTAAACCCAAAGTTTCGTCTTAAGCCCACTAAACCCGAAACCCTAAACCCCAAACCCCAAACCCGAAACCCTAAACCCGAAACCCTAAACCCGAAACCCTAAACAGAAGCACTTTCCATGAGCCGCCGGAAAAATTCCGTCATTCGGAGTCCCTGGCCGACTCTCCCCCCCCCCACCGGCCCCTCCCCTACCCTCCCTAAGGTGGTTTGAATGGTTTGGGGCCTTAGGGTTTAGGTCTAGGGTTTAGGGTTTAGGGTTTAGGGTTTAGGGTTTAGGGCTCAGAGTACATTTCTGGCTGCCCTAAGCCCTAACGGTCTAGGTTTTGGAGCCTCAACGCCCCAAACTCGAAACCAACACCTGGAAATGTGAAGGTCTGGGGTTTAGACTTTAGGCTTTAGGGTGTTAAGCCTTTAGAAGTACAAAAAAAACCCTAAGCACACAAAAGCCCTGGAACCCCCAAAGCCCCCCCAAACCCTCTACCTCTTAATCCCTTGAAAACCCTAAACTCCTTAGCCTAGCCTTGAGCCCTTGAATCCTGAAAGCCCTTAAGCCCTTACACCCCCGAGCCCTTAAACCCTTAAACTCTTATGGCCTTGAAGCCCCAAACCCTAAACCCTTACCTTAAATCCTAAACCCTAAACCCTAAACCCTAAACCCTGAACCCTGAACCCTAAACCCTAAACCCTAAACCCTAAACCCTAAACCCTAAACCCTGAAGCCCCTTAACGCCCCTTAAAGCCCCTCAAAGCCCCTTAAAGTCCCTTGAAACCCTTGAAGCCGCCAGGGCCTGGCAGCCGTCCTTGGCCCCATGGTCGCCGAGCCAAGGGAGCTCAGCGCCACCGCGGCCACGAATGCGCTGAAGGCGCTCGGAGGGCTAGGGTTTAGGGTTTAGGGTTTAGGCTTTAGGGTTTAGGGTTTAGGGTTTAGGGGCTACGGAAGGATCAGGGTTTTGGGCGGTTGCGGCACGGGGGCAAGAAAGCTCGTGAGTTTGTTTTAAGGCAGTTCACACACACACATTTTGTGGCTGACAACGGTGGGGCCTCAGGACATGGGTATAAAGGAACGACTGGCTTACGAATTGCTTCTCGAAGCTGGCTGTCATGCTCATATGACGGCATTCGTTTCCTGAACGATGGGACAAGCGCATCTCCTCGTGTTAGTTCCTATGCACACCAGTGTCCCAGTAGCCGTCCTTCATCCCCCTGCTGCTGTAAAGGACGGTGTTCTACAGAAGAACCCTAAGCCCTAAACCCTAAACCCTGAACCCTAAGCCCTAAACCCTAAACCCTAGACCCTGAACCCCAAACCCAGAAATTGTGCCAGGCCATGAGAGATGCGTCTTTTCATTGAGTGCTTTTGTTGCTGCTTCCTCCTTCTCGTAGGGTTTAGGGTTTAGGGTTTGGGGTTTAGGGTTTAGGGTTTAGGCTTTAGGGTTTAGGGAGCTTGGAGGGGCTTCGGGTGAGAGGGGTTAGGGTTTAAGTTTAGGTTGCTCGGAGGCTCGGGGTTAAGGCTTGGGGGTATTCTTTCGGGCCTCTAGCTCCAGAAGCATGGCCATCTGATCCATCCCATCTGCCGAAAGGATCAGAACTGTAAATTCCCCTTTAAAGTCGTGGAAAGCTTGCAGGAATACTTTCCTTCCGGTTTTACGGCAATAACGATGTCTGTCAGAACGCGCTCGACTTTTTCGTGATATGGTGCTTCGCGGAATCCAGCACAAAGAAGCAGGATCTTTTCTTTGCAGTCTGTTTGCATGGAAGCAGAAGCAGAATTACGGACTGCAGCTGTATTGTTGTCCGCAGGAACAGGAAGAACTATGTAGTCAGAATGAATTCGTGCTCACCTAAATGATGCCGGGAGAACTAAGACAGGTTGCACCCTAATGCTTTTGATTTCCATCGTGCTTTGTCCTCTACCTCACACCTGTATGTATATTGTTGAAGACTTCGTTTCATTCGCAATCTGTCTGATTGCGAATCAGAATATTGTAACTAACCATCAGAAACGTAGCTCGGGAAAAAACAACCGGAAACACCAATCGCAACCGTAAACCCTAAACCCTAAACCCTAGCCCTAAACCCGAAACCCTAAACCCTAAACCCTTCGCTTTCTTTTTGTGTGTGCCAGGTCGCCGCTGCCTCCAGTGACGTGCACCGCATCCTTAATGCCGTGGACGCCACGCTCTCTGCGCCTTGAGGGAAGGGTTTAGGGCTTAGCAGGGTTTAAGGGGCAACCCGAAACCCGAAACCCTAAACCCGAAAGCCTAAAGCCTAAGGCCTAAAGCCTAAAGCCTAAAGCCTAAGCCTAAAGCCTAAAGCCTAAACCCAGAACCCTAAACCCTGAGCCCTAACCCTCCTGGAAAGCTGGCATGGCCCCTGCAGCAAGGATGACACGCACAAATCGAATGGCTCAAGATGAAACAGGGTCACAGGGTTACCGGGGTTGTGGGCTTCGGCCTGTCCCCAGCAGGGTTTCCCTTAGGTGCCTCTTGTTCGGGGTTTTGGGGTTGTGTCTCGTGGGGTTTGGGGTTCCCGAGCTTAGGCTGGTACTCCTCTTTTGGCCCCTACCTTCTCCCTGGTTCCCCTAAGTTCGGTTCTCTTTTAAGGGTATTCTTTTGGTTTCCTGGGGTTATGAGCCCAAGTGTCGTGGTTCTGTGTGGTTAGTTCGTTCAGGGCTTTAGGAAAGATCCATGGATCCTGCGTCTTTTCAGTTGGATACCCCGTCAGAGACGGGCGAAGCTCCGATGGGAGAGCATGGTGGTGATTCTGTGGATGAGCTTTTTGCTCAGGCGTTGGATGGTCTGACGTTTGGGGCCAATGTTACTGATGCAGCTGGTGGAGGCAATGGTACAGGCGTTGCCACTTCGGCTACATTGGAGGACAATGGGTCTGGTACAGTTTCTGGACCTACAATATCATCTTCTCAGGTGGATGGGAATGGTGATACCCTTACGACAGTTGCTCCTGGTACAACAGCTGGTGCAGTGATTTCCACAGGGTTGGGTGATGGGCCCTCAACAGTTCCTGATACAGCGGTTGCACAATCGGTCAGTAGTCCTGGTCCATCAGCTAGTGGAAATGTGCTGCCGGCGCCAGAAGGTATCATAGCAGCTACAAGTACAAGCACAGAGGTTTTTCAGCAAAGTACCGGGCCATCAACAGTTCCTGGTACAGCGGTGGCACAATCGGTCAGTGGTCCTGGTCCATCAGCCCATATTGGTTTTACCAACGTGCCGTTTCCTGGAGGTCATTTTGACAGTGGAACAGGCGAGCAACACTTGACTGGGCAGATGACACACTGGACTCCAAATAACGCTGCAGTGCAAAACAACAATCCTGGACTGGCGTTTAACACCTACGAGCAGATCCGAGCCTTGGGACAGCCGCTACATCGACCTGAACCAGCCCCTACACAAACAGATTGGATGGGCCCGATGAGACAGATGCTGGGAGATTTGCTGCAACCTTTAACTTCGAGGTTGGATGTGTTAGAGCAGGATAGACAATCTTCTCAGTCATCGGCATTGGGAGCAGTGGATCAAGCGGCTTTAGCAAGAATGTTTGCTGGTTTAAATCTGGAAAGACAGGACTCTGCGGGTTCCCAGGCCCAGGCTGCTTTGGGGGATCTCCAACCTAGATCGTCCGATTCGATGCGGTCGGCTAGGTCTCATCCTTCGCAGGAGCTGGGTGAACAGGAGACTGGAACTCGTACACCAGTCGCGGCGACAGAAGGACCGGAGCAGTACATGATTGCCACGCCTCCTGGTTTGGGACAGCCTGCAAGTGTGGCCAATGTTTCTTTGGATGAAAGGGATCGTGAGTTGGTAGCGTTGCGAGTTTCAAGTACAGCTATGGCCAGAGAAGCTGCGAGGGCTGGAGAGACTGCTCCTTCAGCAGAACCAACGCCTCCACCACCACCGCCACTCCCCAGTAGCCACCATACACCTGGTGGCACACGTGTTCCTTCGGGGCCTTCAATGGCAACACCCAAAGTTCCTGGGGTAACAGCTGGCGTGGATACATCGTGGCAGGCCATGGGACCGGCAGTTTGGGAGGTGGTACCGCCACCCCCACCACTACCTCCGGAGATGAGGACGAGGCCAAGGGCCTTAATATCTGAGGAGCCAGCGGCCTTGATGCCTTCGGAGGAGACCGCCAGAAGTATTCAGGATCTGCCTAAGCTGGAGATCTTCAAGGGCAACACCGAGGATGCTGGAATGATTCTTGGAGACTGGCTGACGGTGGTCAAACCGATGATGGCGGGAATTTCAGCCACAGCGGCAGAGTGGTGGGACCAGGTTACCGGCACGGCCTACAACTATTACGATGACTGGCTGGCCGCCTCGCCGCTGAAGAGGTTGGAGCTCCGAGACAAGGTGATGGGGCTGACAGCACTGTTTGAGCACTCCAGGTGGTCACGAACTGAACAACGAGGCGCGGTGCTCATGCTGGCGGCGTTACCTGCAGATGTTAAGGAGGAAATGGTAACCATCCGAGCGGTGCAAACCATTCCTATGCTGTTTCGGTTACTGACCAAGTATCAACCGGGAGGAGCAGGGGAGAAGCAGGCTTTGCTACGAACGTTAACTACTCCAGCTGCGGTGAACACGGCGACGGACGGCATCGCTGGAATCAGAAAGTGGTCCCGAGCCCTTACCAGAGCTCAGGAGCTGAAACTGGCACTCCCAGATCCAACACTGCTGGTTAAAGCACTGGACCAGATTACAGCTGCGGTGATTGCGGGGCAAAGCTTATTCCGGCTGTCAACTTTTCGGTTGGAAAACAAGATTGACTATGCCCCCACCTTGTCCTCTGCCAAGTCCTTAGCGCAGATGTTATTGGCGGAACTGGAAATGGTTACTGGCTCCGAACTTGGAGGACGAAGACCTAAGGTGGCGGCCATGGAAACAGAAGTGAAAGGAAAGGGCAAGGGCAAAGACAAGGGGCAGCGGGAACACGGGCAATGCTGGAACTGGATGACACCTAAGGGGTGTCGAAAGGGCAATGCCTGCTCCTTTCCGCGTGACAAGGCCAGGATGGTGGGGAGGTGTTACAACTGTTCTGCAGAAGACCACCAGAAGGCCAGCTGCCCTTATCCTACCACCTCTGCAGACACCGCCGCTGCCAAAGAGACCAATGACAAGGCCACGGAAGCAAAGGGCAGAGGCAAGCACAAGGGAAAGCCCAAGCCCATCGTGAAGAAGGTGGAGCCGGACGAACCAGCGTCCTCTACGACTTCCGCTTCGTCCTCGACGGCCCAGGCAGCTTTTCTTCAGGAGGCATCCGAGCTCATCAAGACGATGAGATTGGCGGCGTTGCGAGGTGAAACGGATGGCTGGGGATTGCTGGATGGTGGAGCTACGGCCTGCCTCAGAAAGGCAAAGTCCAATCGGGAGTTCCAACGAGCTGCCCCGATTACAGTGGCCCTGGCTACCGGCTCGACACAGCTCCGGATTAATGATGCTGGCACGCTGCTGACCAATGATCCCTCCACGAGTCCCATTGTGGCCATGCATGAGCTGATCCAGCTGGGGACAGGAGTGACCTGGGATCAAGGTGGTATCTGCATCAAGGTCCCGAAGTTTGGCCAGCTTCCAGTACGATTGGCTACCGGATGCCCAGAAGTTCCAGAAGCACTGGCCTTAAAGCTCATTGAAGATATTGAGCAGAAGAAGCGGGACAAGATGGCCTTCGTGAAGGAGCTGCGAATCCAGAAGGAAGATGGAGGTGGCCTGGAGCAAGAAGGGACTATGATGTTTGAGGGTCCCGAAGCCATGAAGCGCTGGTTGCAAGATCAGTTTTTGCATCTGCCAGAGGGGGTCATCGATGCCCTGACCGTTCCTGCCTATGCCAAAGGAAATGACTGCTTGCCTTGGAGCCGGAGGACAAGGAAGGCCATGATGGCTTCGAAGTTCATCGTACTGAACCTGTTTGCTGGCAAAACCCGGGGCTTCTTTCAGCAATATCTGGATGGCAAGGGTATGGATGGGTGTTACGTTATCGATGTGGACCTGCCTGAAAACCTGCTGTGCGACCAAATGTATGGTTTTTTGTTGGAGTTGGCCCGAAGTGGCCATGTCAAAATGGTGATGGGCGGACCTCCAGACAAGACGTTTGAGGCACCCAAGCAATGGAGGGGGAATGATCCTCAAGACCGACTTGGCAGATCTGAGCTCGGTCCTCGCGACCTGCGGGCTGTGGAGAAGGAAAATGTCCTGATCCTGAGGCAGTTGGTGCTGTATATGGTCGCAGAGGAAGCAAGGAGGCTTCATAACAACAGCCAGGCGGTGGGTCTGGTGTTGGAACACAAGGCGCCAAACAATGGGGAAAACACCGAAGCTTCGAGACCGGAAATCTGGAATTGGCCAGAAGTACAACATTGTCAAGCGAAGTACAAGTTGGAAAAACTGGAAGTCGACTTTGGCGATTTGGGTCACCGGACCACGAAACAGCAAGGACTGCTGGTATCGCACAAGTTGTACTTCGATGAGGTTTCAATGGTGAACTGCAAAGACTGTGGTTCGGGGGAGGAAGGAATGGATCCTCAAGAAATGACCAAAGGGCATGAGTGGCCTGATGGTTTGAAGTGGGCAGTTCTACAATTGCTGCTGCGCTTGGTCCCGGGGGGGCTATCAATCCATCGTCTGGATACAAAGTTCCGACAACATGTTGCCCAAGGCCATATCCCCTTTCGTCGCGATTGCCTACACTGCCTAGCAGGCGGAGCCAAAGACGGCCAGCATAGGAGACTGCCTATCAGCGAAGCCTACACGATTAGCGCCGACCTGAGTGGTCCCTACACGGTGGGCTTGGATGAGTATGGTCGGGTGAAGTACATGTGCACGATGGTTTACACCATTCCGGTCTTTGCAAATTTGGAGCCGGAACCAATGGTGGAAATTCCTGAAGGAGGTGATCAAGCTGAACAGCCCAGATCTTCAGAGGCAGTCAATGAGGCCGCATCCTTGCTGGACGATGACGGGTTGGGGGGTGTGGACACCACATCGCTGTTGGGCGAGGAAACCCCGGATTATGAGCCGGATTTGGATGATGAGCGGTGTTCCCAACTGGATGAACCACTACTACCTCAGGCAAAGGATGAGGAAGCCGTCGTCCTAAGGGATTATGGGCTGGACTGCGAGGAGGACTGGAATGATGAGGTGGATCCGGTGAATGGGAGTGCAACGAGGAGGTCCTGGAGGAGGAATTGCCCAAGGAGAACCTCACGGACTTTCAGAAGCGCCTCGTGCAGGAACAAGCTGAAGCCTGGAAACAATATCTGGTCAAGGCTCGCGAACAGGCGGACTCGGTGGCTCCTCAAGACTTGAAGTTGGACAAGCTACAGATGGTGGAGCTCACTTTCGCTGAGAGCCTACGAGACAAGACCCCAGCATCTGTGGTTGGAGCCATAGGTCGCGTTTACAGCAAGCTGAAAATGTGGGGAATGCATGCGGCCAGGTTTCATACAGACAAAGGAGGAGAGTTCCTCAATGCCCCCGTCTGTCGTTGGCTTCAGGATAGAGGGATTTATCAAACCTGTGGACAGGGCGGATCCTACAAGCAAAATGGCCGGGCAGAAGCTGCAGTTGGTATTTGCAAAAGGGCCACCAGGACGTTGCTGCATGGTGAAACGTCGGCCAAGCGACTTTGGCCGGGTGCCTGGCGATGGGTGGCCGAGCGACGCCTTCGCAGGGCCTTGGCCCGACTGGGCATGCCTGTCAAGCCTTTGGTTCCGTTTGGTACAGTGGTTTGGATCCGCAAAAGACACTGGCATAAGGCTGAACAATGGGATGATCGTGTCCACAAAGGCGTGGTGATTGCCCCGGCGCAACATGTTTCCAGGGGCTATGTGGTGAAAGTGGGAAACGATTTCTTCACGACAACCACGCTGTTTCAAAATGTGCAAATGGCGGATACTGGTGCAATTTCGGCCATGGATGAGGTGGAAGTGGACGCAGTGCCTCCGAACTCGCGGCAAACAGGGCTTGGCCTCGTTGTCGGTAGCACCAGCAGCACTGTCCTGTCCAGGGCATGACAGGGAGCAAACTGGACACAGTCTGGTACAAGCTTGGAAAAAGGCGGACTCCTGGATCTCTGGACCCTTGCAAGAAACAATCGAGTGGCTGCAGGATTCCTTGAGCGGGACAAAATTACGCAGCGACCGCCAAACCTCTGAAGGCCTCTATATCACCAATGGGGTTTACAGCCAAGAGGGAGTCATTGGGATCACAAATACTACAACCCAACAACCTGATCGGCTGCGAACTCAGGTCCTGAATGCCATCCTCGCAGCTGCTTTCCCAACGGACACCTGGACCTCGTCTACCCTTTCGGTGAACAATTGGCTGGGGCCGCATCGTGATATCTTCAATCAACGAGGGACGAGTAATCTGCTGGTATGCCTTTCACCCTCCATTTCTATCTGGACCGAAGTGGAACCACCCTTCACTGGCCTGGGCTCGGAAGAGTTGGTCTGGAAGGAGGTTCGCCCAGGACTCTGGAAGCCGGGCCAGATTCATCGCCTTCGTTGCGGGGACTCGATGAGATTGGATCCACGCAAGTGGCATGCCTCGGAGGATGGCGAAGAAAAGGGCCCACGCGTGCTGGCGGTGGCTTTTTCCTTGGCAGTGCATGCCAGGTTGGAGCCTGGTAAAAGGGCCAGCCTGTATTCTGCAGGTTTCCCATTGCCGGCTATAGCAGGCACTGGGGGGGGGGTACAAGCAAGATTTGAGATCGAGTTTGAGTTCAGCCTCGCCCTCGAACACCAGCACTACGACTGCCCCTAGGCCAAGGGTCGCCAAACTTCGCCTGCGACAGCGAGAGGAAGGAGAAGCCGATGGGCCTGCAAGGCAAGTGGAGCATACACAAATTCAGTACACTGTGTTGGATGCTGCAACTGCGGATCGGTTGTTTCAGGAGAGATGGACCCATGAGCAGGCCAATGCTCACGACCTGGATCAACATCCCTTGCAGCGCTTTGTGGACGACTGGGAAGGTGAGTGGTCCCCAGTGCTCCCACCGGATGGCATCCTACCTATGACGGAAACTGTCGACCAGGCGGCCTCAGCAGCCTATGAGTATCGCTTCAGGTGGGCAGGTTTGCTCCAGATCCGGAAATCGACCCCAATCAAGTCCTGAGGGACCCAAGTATTCGATTGGACCGGGTCAATCCGCCTGAGGAGGGAATGCAGATCGATCCTGTAATCCAGAGGCATTTGGTTGATGAGGATGATCCAGAATCAAGGAGGCGGGCGCTAACAGATGATGGGCCGGATCTCCCCATGGCGACGATTATCAACTACCGCTACATGTACGACGATGAAAATCAGCTGGAAATTCATCAGTTTGCCATGATGGTAAATCATACAGTGGGCTACGAGGAAGCACCTCACTGGCAACCCCTTGACATCGTCATCCGGTCCGAGGTCCTCTACGAGCTGCAAGAACCTCAGCAGGCAGAAGAAAACGAGGAGGAGCCTCCAGAAGATGATGAGGACGTGGATCAAGGAGACGATGAAGATGATGATCCGCCGGGAGATGGTCCAGATGGCCCAGGTGGAGGTGGACGAGGCCGTTCGAGAACGCCGGAAATCCGGTACGAGGACTATAGAAATGTTCGGCCTCGCTATCAACTTCGTCTAGAACACAGCGATGCCCTGAAAATGCTGGATGCTGCAGAAAGTTTTTTGGTTCCGGAGGAGGCGGGAATGTTGTATCAAAGCAAAAACAGCCTTGGAACCGGGGGAGCAGCGACTGGTGTGGTGGGACATGTTGTGGCCTCCGAGATACCCATTGGTTTTGAAGCTGATGAGCAGAGCGACCTGCTGGATGGCATGCAGATGGGATTGAAAAGGTTAGGGCTACGTGAGCAACAAAAGCTGCAGCAAGACCTTTGGGATCAATCCAGCTTGGACGAGGAGCCGGACACTTGGACCTTGAAGGATCAAGTCACGCAGGTACGGGCCATACACGAACAAGCGGACCAGGTGGAGGATGATCTTCGACTGTTGAAGAGCATGTCTGTGGAGACAAATGTTGGAAGTACGGGCGCTCCTACTGATGTTTTTCCGGAGGTGTTCTTGCAAACAAAGACAATTCAACAAGCCCAGGTATTGCAGGAGCTGCCAGCGTGGACACCAGCAATGAGTGCCGAGTATAACACGATTCGCCATGAGAAGGCTGCAATAGAGCCAATCACCGAGCAGCAAATCCGGGTCATGGAGGAGGACGACAGCCTGATCGTGAAGAGGATTCCGGCAAAAATGGTGTTCACAAGAAAGGCGGTCAGCGGACAACGCAAAGCGAGGGCATGCGCTTGCGGGAACTTTCTCCAGGCCGAAGAAAGTAGCAAAACAAAGCAGGAGCTCCGGGAGGAGGTATATGCGGCTGGTATTGACATTACGGTGCTACGTACCATGCTTGCTGTGGGGGCTCGTCGTGGCTGGAAGGCTGGAACGACGGACATCAAGGGGGCCTTCCTGAATGCCCCGTTACTTCAGCGGACCAAAACCAAAACAGAACGCATCATTTTGGACCCGCCGAAAATCCTGTCCCGAGCTGGAATTATCCCTCCGTATGAAAAGTGGTTGGTGACCCGTGCATTATACGGATTGGACATTTCGCCTAAGAGCTGGGCAGTGTTTCGAAATCAACAACTTAATGGCCGAAGATTTCAGAGTGGAGGAGCGTGGTACACCTGGCAAGCTTGTCGCACAGATCAAAATTTGTGGAGAATTTTATCCGAGGATGGAAGATTGTGCGGCCTGGTTTCCATCTATGTCGACGACATTTTGGGAGTCATGGAAGATGGGGTACTACAATCGTGCTTCAGCGATCTGTCGCAGCTCTGGGCATGCTCTACACCGGAGTACGTGGCCCAAGGATCTGTTCGTTTTTGCGGATTCGATATATCAGAAGGATCTGATGATCGCCGTGGATTTTTGCTCCGGCAGGAGGCGTATATCGACGAAATCTTGGAACGGTTCGAGAGCGAACATCAAGGCAGCCTACGAACTTCCAAGGTTCCTGCGTTGAGGTATGATCTTCCTCATGACAAAAAGGAGATGGATCCTTTGCAGGTGAAGCTGGCCCAAAAGCTGATTGGTGAGTTAAATTGGATTGGAACCCGTGCAAGACCTGATATTATCTTTGCCATCAGCAAGGCGGCTCAATGTATCACCAGGGATGCTGTTTTGGCGGTGGAAGCAGCAACTCAAATCTTCAAGTTCCTCAAGGCCACCAAGGAGGAGGGCCTTCGCTATGTGGCCAATCCGGATTCTTTTGGGAAGCATCAGGAGTTAAGGGTGCCTAGAAAAGAGGCGTTGGTAGAGGTTTTTACTGATGCCAGCCACGCTCCCGATGCCGGACGTTCCCAAGAATGTGTCCATGTTTTTGCTGCAGGCCAATTAATTGGTTGGTCGCCCAACAAGCAAACTATGACCAGCCTCAGTACAGCAGAAAGCGAACTGTGTGCAGTGTTGGAAGGGGTAGCTTATGGTGAGGGAACCAAATGTGTTTTGGAAGAAATCTTGCAGGTTCCTGTTCAGGCTGTGATCTACTGCGATAATGCTGCTACGGTTGCCCTAGTCACAGGAAGCTCCAACCTTTGGCGGACCCGAGGGTTAAAGATCAAGGCTGCAGCACTCCAGGAGCGATTACAATGCGATATTTGGCAGATGTATCACCTTGATGGTGTTTACATGACCGCAGATTTGGGCACAAAACCCCTTACTGCGAGTAGAGTGGACGAGCTGAGGAAGCTGATCAACATGGGAGGGCCAACAAGCTGTCGACCTCAAGCTAGCAGGCTGCAAGCGACGAACATGCTGAAGATTTTGGTTTGTTTGGCCATGTTGAGTACAGTGGATGGTGCAACAATGGAGCAAGCGATGACACTGGATGATATGGCGACCGTCGTCATGTTGAACTTCGGGCAGACGGCGCTTTGGATGGGCCTGACTGCTATGGTGCTCAGTATCCTCTTTTTGTGGGAAACAGCATGGTTTTTGGCAGGATATCAGAGGATTAAGGCCCGGTCCAAGGAAGATCAGTCCTCGCTACCATCGTCTTCAGCTCCAACATCCACTGGGATGGGAACAACCACGGCCACTGGGACGGCGTCGAACGCATCCACTGAGATGACCTCGAGCACGCCCCCTGGGATGATGCCGACTCCATCCACTGGGATATCATCGGCTCCTACGGCTTCTTCGTCGGCGCCTATGCCTCCACGCAAGGCGCCCCCAGTCCGACCACCACGTTCGGTGGAGCCAGCCGGCTCCGAGGATTATTGGATGACACGAGGGGGATGGCATGTGAGGGTCCATCGACAACCACGAATCCAACTGTTTGACCCCTGCGATGCTGCCAGACCCTTCGGGTTGGAGGAGTTGACTGGTGACCGCGTTACCTATGTCACCTTTCAAAATGATGGTGAGACCCAGGTCATCCGAGATATCTTCCGTTACAAGGTGGACGCCAAGCGACGACTGGACCGCACTTGGAAGGGAGTCACGGAGTTCGTCATTCGTTGACTGGCTGGGATGTGGCGATATTCTTTACTGGCGATTTCAACGGAGGCTTTTGACCAGGTGCCTCGCCCGAAGGTCAATGGAGGCTTTTGACCAGGTGCCTCACCCAAAGGTCACAAAGATGATCCGATGCATTTGTGCATCAGCTCAGGGGGAGCCTGGAAAGCTGGCATGGCCCCTGCAGCAAGGATGACACGCACAAATCGAATGGCTCAAGATGAAACAGGGTCACAGGGTTACCGGGGTTGTGGGCTTCGGCCTGTCCCCAGCAGGGTTTCCCTTAGGTGCCTCTTGTTCGGGGTTTTGGGGTTGTGTCTCGTGGGGTTTGGGGTTCCCGAGCTTAGGCTGGTACTCCTCTTTTGGCCCCTACCTTCTCCCTGGTTCCCCTAAGTTCGGTTCTCTTTTAAGGGTATTATTGGTTTCCTGGAACCCTAAGGGTTTAGAGTCTAGGGCTCGGGGTGGGGTTCAGGACTTGGGAGCCCAGGTCAAAGCATGCACCCCAAACCCTAAACCCGCCTCCCAAACATCCTGAGCCCTACAGCCCCAAACCCTAAACCTTACATCCCCAAACCCTAAACCCCAACCCCTAACCCCTAAACCCTCAACCCTCAACCCTAAACCCTAAACCCTAAACCCTAAGCCCTAAGCCCTAAACCCTAATCCCTAAACCCTAAACCCTAAACCCTAAACCCTAAACCCTAAACCCTAAACCCTAAACCTTGCATCCCTAAACCCTAACCCCTAAACCCTAAACCCTAAACCCTGAAACTTTGAGCTGCGAAGCTCAGGTGCCCGTCTCCGCGCCCTTCGAGGGTCAGCTGCTGGAGGCCATGGAGGCAGGGCCTGCCAGGGGTTTCTAGGGTTTAGGGTTTAGGGTTTAGGGTTTAGGGTTGAGGGGGTTGAGAGGGTTGAGAGGGTTGAGAGATTTGAGAGGTTTGAGAGGGTTGAGGGTTGAGGGTTGAGTTTCTCGGGTTTAGAGTTTAGAGCTCAGGGTTCAGGGTTCACATCAAGTTTCTGGGGGGCTGTTGACCCGCAAGACACTCAACCACTGAAGTAGAAGCACGGGCCCTTTCTTTCTTGCTGTTCATCTAGATTATCACCCCTTTTGGCCATTTTGCGGCACCTAACTCTTAAATGTGCCCTTACGCAGGGTGCCCCAGAATAAAGATAACTTAGACCAAACCCCCTCGAACCTCCCCAAGCCTCTCCCAATACCTCCGAAACCCGCCCTAAACCCTAAACCCCTAAACCCCTAAACCCCTAAACCCCTAAACCCCTAAACCCCTAAACCCCTAAACCCCTAAACCCCTAAACCCTAAACCCTAAACCCTAAACCCTAAACCCTAAACCCTAAACCCTAAACCTGAGGTGGCGGCCAGCGTGGTGGAGCCCACCCCGGAGGCCCTGGAGAAGAGACCTGGAGGGAAGCAAAAAGCCACCTAGACCCTAAACCCTAAACCCCCAAACCCCAAACCCTAAACCCTAAACCTAAACCCTAAACCCGAAACCCTCCGCCCTAAGCCCCTATGGTGGTCGTTTCTTTTGCATTGAGATTTGGGGGTTTAGGGTTTAGGGTTAGGGGTTTAGGGTTTCGGGTTGATCTGAAGCTGCACGGGGGGCTCTAAGTGCACCTTATTTTTTTTTGGGGGGGGGGGGGGGGGGTCGATGTAGGGTTTTGGGATGTAGGGTTTGGGATGATAGAGTCGACGACTTCCTGGGCTTCGGGGTTTTGAGTACCCCAAGCCTAAATTTCCGAACCCTTAAACCCTAAACCCTAAACCCTAAACCCTAACTAAATCTTAAACCCGAAACCCTAAACCCTCAACCCTGCTGATGTTCGAACACGACCCAGGATGAGCTATGTGGTGTCGTCCGTGGTGCAAGGAGGACGGACCCTCTAAGAATTTCTGCACCCTTTCCGTCTCGCGTTTTTTTTTTGTCAGTGGCAATCTGGCCTTACAGATTCACGGCCTCAGGGGCTCTAGAGGGTGCTTTCGTGGGATGTGTTCACTAAGGACGGGGATGGGGTTGCTGGTGAACAAGTCCCAGCTCACCCAAGCGGCTGCTGTCCTGGACAGCTGCATCAACCTGGCACTCAGCAGCTCGGAGGCCGGTGTGGGAGAAAACCTGGCCGTGGCCATGCTGCAGAGCATCTCGTCCGTGAACCTTGGTGGCCCAGTGGTACCCTTTTCCCTTTTTTTGGTTTCAGGTTCCCTTAGAAATTCGCCAACCAAAGGGTGCCCTTATTACAAGACGGTGAATTTCTGGGGTGCCAAGGAACTTGGGTGGCCGCATTGGGCAGCCCGACAGTCCGCACAGCGAGTCCGTCAACTTCACCTCCATGCTGGAGGCGCTGACGTCGAAGCTCGCCGACGCGAGCCTGGCGAGGATGCCTCTAGACTCCCCCCTTGGGAATTATTTTTATATTTTTGTTTTTATAAAACCCAAGAGGATATTAAAAATAGTATTTTGTATTTTTGTTTGTATAAAACCCAAGAGGATGTTAGAAAATAATATTCTTATTAAGGTTCTAAGGGAAGAGTAGAGGCAGCAGGGCGAGTCGCGGACGCTGGCTGCCTCGACTGCTGGGAGCGGCACAGCCCTGGAGCTCTCGCGAGCCTTGGGGGGCCCTTTCAGAATTCGGCTGGGGACATCCTTAAAAGCCACTGTTTAGGGTTTAGGGTTTAGGGTTTTAGGGTTTTAGGGTTTAGGGTTTAGGGATAAGGGGGGGTACTTTGAAAAAAGCAACAGAAGCCTCTGTTGCATGTAGGGGATCCCACAGAAAGCCAAGGAACCACGACTTCCGTCTTCCGGGGTGGCTTGACGTACGGCCGCCTGCGCGTGCCGCAGAAAGTGGAGCTGCTCGCACGGCGGCTGCAGTCCACGGACGACCCCTGTAATGCCCTGGACATGAAGCTTACCGTCTGGGAAACTAGGCCCTTGGGATATTCTTTATGTATTTCTCTTAATTGGGTTTCACAGGGTCAGATCCCTACGGCCTCTCCCCTTATCCCTAAACCCTAAACCCTAAACCCGAAAACCCTAAACCCTAAACAGTGGCGTTTAAGGGCCATCCCAGGAAAGGAGCAACCCGTACAGCTGGGCGGATCCTTCCAAGGGCGTCAACCGAATGATCTTCCCCAACAGCACGGTTGCCGTGCTCCAGCTTCTTGCTGCTGGTTAGTAGGGTTTAGGGTTTAGGGTTTAGGGTTTAGGGTTTAGGGTTTAGGGTTTAGGGTTACGAGCCAACAGTAAGGCTTGAGCTTTGTGGGTCCCCGGTTACCTTCAACGACACGGATCCGGATGCCGCTGTAGAAGTGAGGCCCGACTTGTGGTGGTTTGGACGGCTCTCCCAGTTATTTTTCTTGATTATTATTTATTCTTTTTTTTGGGGGGGGGGGGGGGTCCTATGTCAGGATGGAACCCGAAGCTTCCACCTCAAGCACGCTCTAAGCCTCCGTCAGTTAGGGTTTGGGATTCACGGTTGAGGGTCCAGGGAAAAGGGTTGAGTTCCTAAACCCTAAACCTAAACCCTAAACCCTAAGCCCTGAGGGCTGAGGGTTTAGGGGTCCTTGCGGTGTGGACCCCCAGGCGCCAGGCAGCTCCTAGCAGTAGCATTCCCTAAGCCCTGAAGGGTTTCGGGTTTAGGGTTTAGGGTTTTGGGTTTAGGGTGTAGGGTTGAGCCTTGACTTCTTAACCTCTTGACCTCGTGCCCTGCGGAAGGGACATCGACCTGCCCCCGAAGCCGCCGCCTATGCATGGCTTCTGGTTGGACCCTTCTTGCGCCAGGTTGGGGATCTCGGGTTTAGGGTTTTTGGGTTTAGGGTTTAGGGTTTATTCTTTAGGGGTTTAGAGTTTAGGGCTTGTTTTGGTTCTTGTTTGCCTTAGTTCTATTACGCCTTTCTTCAGGGTTGAAAGAAAGTTGGGGGGGTATCTGGGTGGCTGAGGGGACCCCAAACGCCGCAGAGCCTTAGCCTTGCGATGCATACGCAGCCCTGCACCCTAAACCCTAAACCCTAAACCCTAAGCCCTAAACCCTAAACCCTAAACCCTAAACCCTAAACCCTAAACTCTAAACCCTAAACCCTAAACCCTAAACCCTAAACCCTAAACCCTAAACCCAGACCCCACTTGTTAAGGTCTACAGGCCTGATACTCCAAGCCCGAGCCCCGCCCTAAATCCTAAGCGCCTAAGAGCCTTGCAGGGTTCAGGGCTTAGGCGAACGCTACACCCTAAACCCTAAACCCTAAACCCTAAACCCTAAACCCTAAACCCTAAACCCTAAACCCTAAACCCTAAACCCTAAAACCTAAAACCTAAAACCCTAAAACCCTAAACCCTAAACCCTAAACCCTAAAACCCTAAACCCTAAACCCTAAACCCTAAAACCCTAAACCCTAAACCCTAAACCCTAAAACCCTAAACCCTAAACCCTACACCCTAAAACCCTAAACCCTAAACCCTAAACCCTAAACCCTAAACCCTAAACCCCAAACCCTAAACCCTAAACCCTAAACCCTAAACCCTAAACCCTAAACCCTAAACCCTAAACGCTGTTCTTCCCCCCCCCCATGAGGTGGTCTCCACGCGACCAGGCCTGGGTCTTCGACGGCGTGGAGGTGAAGCAGCCAGCAGCTTCGGCGGCATGGTGTTGAGGGGTGTGGAATGTGCCCCGAGGGGGGGGGGGTTTAGGGTTTAGGGTTTCTGCCGCCGTAGCTAGAGCCCAGTCGGACGCGCCATAAATTCAACTTGCAAGCGCCTAGGCGCCCTCAATAGCTGAGAGCCAGGCGTGACACCTCTCGAGTGTGAGGTCAGCTGCTTCCCCAACTAGTAAGTGCTGCCCTGTGCAAACGGCCTTGCACTTGCCTTGCTGTAAGGAAGCAAACTGTCGACCCTGCTGTACTGGGTCAAACACGATCATGCCCAACATGGCCAACTGCTGTACACTGTTGGCACAGGGGCCTGGGGGTCTCCACTTTTCTTCTGTCGCTTTGGGGCTTTCCTCAACCGAACCAACCCAAACATTGAAAAAACCCTGAAGCTGCTTAGGGTCAGCAAGTTGGCAAAACGAGCTTAGCAGCGTATCACGGGTGGTGGGGGTACTTGCCAGAGCGACATCGGGCGGAGTGGGAGACTTGTCTGGTGCCTGCGTGGCCCACCATGGTTGCGGGCCTATCAGCCTCGTCTGTGGCAGGTGCGCGTTGTCTGGCTTGTCAGCCAGGTCTGAAGCCATGTCGGCTTGATGATAGATGCGGCAACAGCGGAGCGAATGCCTAAGATGCTCTCTCAGACGCTTGGATGTCCAGTATTGTCGCTGGCACACCTCGCAGGTGGACCCTACTCTTATTCGGGTCGCCAGCGCTGGTTGCTGGTGGGTCTTGGCCATGTGCGAGGCCAGTGCGCATGCCTTGGAGAAGCTGCGTGAGCAAATCTGACAGGCAAAAGGTTGGCTACTCTGATCACCCCGAAGTTTAATTAAAAACGCCGGTGTCTCATCAATGCCGCGGATCGCCTCTGCCTTTGCCTTGACGGCGGGCCTTGCAACCCCAGCTATCTGCAACCATTTGCCGCGGGCCTGGCGGAGAAAGCGCGCCGTGGCCGCTGGTGTTTTCCAAACGTCATTCCAGGCCTTCATGCAAGACGGCGTCTCCTTGGGACATTCAGGCACGTTCTCTCCGACAAGGCGTCCGATCAGCTGCAGATCATGCCATGCTGCAACGATCCAAGCCTGCGCAGCAACCAAAGCCAGTTGCAATTGTCTGGGGCCAGCGTGGGCTATCTGCAACAGCAGGCGCACCCGCTCGACTGCCAAGGCCTGCAGCGGCTGCAGGACCTGTAGGTAGTCACACACTTGCTCGTCCGACAATAATTTTGTTGATAGCCCTGTCATGGGCCGCATCGCTCGCCTGACAAATGACATGTAGGACGATTCGTACTTGGCCCTTTCCCTCTGCGTCTTCAGTGTCCAGGTATTGGCACCATGCATGAACTTTCTGAGGACCAGGGAGATCAAAAGGCCTTTGCGCTCGTCCCACGTCAGGTTGTGGTTGCGCAGGATATGCGCCCTGACCTTGACGAAGGTTGGCTCCGCCAACTTTGCCCTTCTGTCGATGTCTTTCCAGTCTGCGGCGCTGCACGTACGAAGGGAGCCCAAGTGCACGTACTGGTCGGTGCAGCATATGTGGCTATCCATCTCGCCCGGCACTTTGAAGGGTATGACACCATTGTCCTCTATCCAGAGACGGTGTCTCTCAGCTTTTGCCTGTGGCCCCTTGAACACGAGCATGGCTTCTGTTTTGCCGCGCTGTAGGTTTATGTTGACCCCAATGATGGCCAACTGCTGTTTTACTACCGCTGACGTGGCACTGACCGCCCGTATCAGCTCGTTGGCACGGGTGACCTGGATGAGGACAGCTATGTCGTCCATCCACGTGGGTATGAGCGGGGTGTCCTCCACGTGGCCAGGTACGTGGATTTGGGCCCCTATGCCCATAGCAGCGAGGTGTTCAGAGATGCCACGTAGCGATAGTACGAAAATTAGTTGGAATAGACTGTCGGCGACTGGGCTACCGGGCGATGTGCCCGCTAGCGTGGCCCTCACCGAGGTGTCCTCGGCGTTGACAGTGAACCATGTGCCGCGCATTAGGGCCTCCAGCATTCGTTGAGTGGTTTCAGGAAGCCCAATTTCCTTCATGAGGCTGCCGGATCTCAGCACTCTGCCTATTCTCAGACGTAGCTCCAGGCTTATGGGCATGTCGTCGAGCCACGCCTCAGCATTTTGCACATCAGTTCGAAGAAGGTACTCTCGGAGAGTGCTGTAAAAGGCGCTGGCACCGTCCACAAACACTACTGCTCCGCTTGTTGCAGAACGGTGCAACCGCTGCAGGTGCGTCTGCGTGACGAGTGCTGGGACGCCCAGCGCAATGCCGGTTCTAGCGCCCGCAGTGCCCTCCAAAGTGATTGCCTCGAGCCCTTTGCTGAGCTCTGGTCTGAGGGATCTAGCTACAGCTTTCGAGGAAATCTCAAAAAGGGAGATGCTACGGAATCCAGCGGGCTCATGGTGGGCTTTGTTGGGCTTAGCCATTGGAATGGCAATGCTGCCGGACCACAACATGGGGGCGACGTCCCGGGCTGCAAGTTTTAGCATGAGTGGCATATGTGCGAGGGCCATTTGCAAAGGCGCTCGGCAGTAAATGTCGGGGGGCAAAGTAGAGAGGCCGGGTGCCCGACGCGCGGGCATGGAAGCAAACGCACGTGTGAGCTGGGCAAGAGTAGGGGCCGAGTGGAGGTCGACCTCTTCAGCAGGCCTGGCCTGGGCCCGCTTTTCCAGCAAGACCTCTTGGAGCTGGCGCGAAGTTGCCCTTTCTGCCTTGGCGAAGTGGTCCCCGAATGCCAGGGCGACTCGAGCAGCGTCTTGTTCCATCTGCCCGTCTATCTCGAGAACGGGCGCCATCCGCGGTGCTTTGTAGCGTCTTCCGGTGCGTAGCACAGCACGCAGGACATGTGCCAAATGGCGCGGCCCTTTGGCCCTAGCGTCTTGGTACATCTGTCGAGCGAAAACGGCCTGGTCCCTCTGATGGGTTCGCTTTAGCTCCTTGTTGAGCTCACGCATGCGCAGGAAATGCTCAGCAAGCTTTTTTTGCAGGTTGCGCCGTTGCTGGCGGGCGCTTGCGTGTTGCAGCTGCCTGCTTTGGCCGTGGCCACATGCTTCTCGCCAAGCCATGAAGTAGATGTACGCCTGTAGCCTTTCCAGCCTTTGCCTACGACATCGGTGCACGAAACGGGCAGCTCTTCGCTGTTGAAGGCAGGTCATGGTGTGATGTGACAGGACCGGCGAGCGGGCGGCCTCTCGCGGCCGCACGAAAGATTGCGCGATGGCACTGTTAAGGTAGCAGTTGAGCACATGCAGATGGTCATCTACATCGACCTCCCATGGAACCTGTGGCGCCTGGTTGAGGATGCGCTGCAATTCAATGCGCCCAGCAGGCGAGTGGATGGCCTCAACATCCAGTCTGGTCAACCGAGCTTTGCGCGCGACAATTAAGCTGGCCGCTACAGAAACCTTTAGTAGTTTGTGGTCAATACCGGCATTAACATCTAAAATGTCGTGTGTGCTGGGGCGGTTGAGTCCAACCTGCCAGTCCGCCGGTACACAGACGTAGTCAAGACACGCCTGCTTGCCGTTCGGTGACCGCCACGTGGTGATGGCGTGTCCGTTGTCCCAGGCAGGTGTTCGCGCAAGATGCCAGGCCTCGAGGCAAGCGGCCAGACGGTGAGCGTTTAGTCCGGTCGGCTCCTCCGATTTGTCGAAGCGTGCGTTCGCGTCAAGCATGAACAGTGGCACGTGTCCCGCAATGTGGCGGTTGACCTGCTCACGCAGCAAGTCCCACCACGCATTGATGACCTCGTCCGGGGACGTGGAGGTCGGAGCGTGGCCGACTATAAACAAACACTTGATGCTGCCAAATTGGCCAGAGATGAGGAGGAGACGTGGGTGCATGAAACGTGCGGCGAAGGTGTCAAGCTGCCATGGAACGCTGTCGCCCGAAGCGGTGAATCCAGCGGGCCGAGTGGAGTCAACCCACAGTTGGCAACCTAGTTGCCCATGCTCACCCTTGCTAGCAAACCTCCAAACTCCCTGCCTAACAACCAATGGCTCGGTGTCTTCTCGAGTCTCTTGCAGGCCCAATACCCCGATTTTTAAACTTTTCATGGCCTGGTGCACACATTGACGTTGCAACGCAGAAGCCAGGGTCATGGCGTTGTAGGATGCAATGCACACGTCGAGGCGAAACTGCTGCGGCTCAATTGTGCTGGTGTCAGCGGGCGCCCATCTGCTCGGTGATGCAACATGCATACATAAGCCTTGCGGTTGGCTGGGCTCCGTGATCCCATCTGGGCCAATGGTTGGCCAGCTGCTGTAATGGTGCACGGTTGACAGCCAAAGCCAGGAAAACTCGGGGCAGTGAATGGCAGTGAAGAGGAATGGGGCCAAGCTGCCTTCTGGGGGCAGCACCTCAGCCAGGCATGCCGTGGCAAGGGAGTCAACTAGCTCGTTGCCTGGATGACCTTGGTGGCTCTTTGTGTGCTGGTAGCCTCTGACCTGACCTGTAGATGTCAGCATGGCAAAAGTAGTGACCATGGCCTCAGTGAGGGCGTAATCTGCGCGGCAGGCAGAGAGGGCACAGGCACAGTCAGCTGCTGACGTCGAGTCATAAGTCAAGGTGAATGGCACGCCCGCCGCGATGGCTGTGGTCTGCGCGACCAGATGTGCGCAGAGTTCAGGCTGAAAAGCTGATCTTTCCCCAGGGCCCCATATTTCGTCAGTGAGCTCACCAGTTAAGTAGCCTACCCAACGCCATTTACCCTGAATCCAGCCTACCGCAGCAACAGCCCAAGCCCCCCTACCGGACGTAGGCCAATAGGCCCCGTCCACGTAGAACATGAGTGCTTCAACCCGGTCGAGTTTGTTATGTTTAGGCAGAAGGCCGACAAATGTTCTGGCAGTAGGGTGGATGTGTTTCGAGGGTGGCATGGCCTGGCAGTAGTCTGAGATGTTGATGCCCTGGGACACAGTCCAAATCATGTCGGGGTGTACTCCTGTAATGAGCCGGCTTTCAGTGCCAGGAGGCAGCGGCGGCCGCGGGGGGCTGACAAGGTTGTGCAGTGACAGAGTTTTGGGCGGAGTGGAAGGGGTATGCTTCCTTTTGCCTAAAGGTACGGGCATGTCACAGAATGACCTGCATCCTGATGCGCCAGGAGTCCTGCTGCCTGCTCGAGACCTGGTACTACAGCCTGATGAACGTACGCTGACCGGGCAGTTGGATTGACCTTGCATACCTGACCTGCCGCCTGATGCGCCTGGAGACCTAGCACTGTGGGCACCTAAGCCTGATGCACCTGGAGTCCTGCAGAGCGGATAGCTGTAGGGAGATCTGACACATCGGGCACCTGACCTGCAACCTGATGTATCTGTGCTGGGTGGTTGGTTGTCTGCGTGATGCACCTGCAGTTCACCTACCACCTGACTTGCCGCCGCCTGACCTGCAGCCTGATGCACCTGGAGTCCTGCCGACCGGCTGGTCGGATGGGGGACCTGACCTGCAGCCTGACGCGTGCTGACTGACTGCTGTGTTGAGTTGATGCACATGGGGGTCTGGGACCTGCACCTGAGCTGCAGCCTCACGCGTGCTGAGTTGATGCACCTGGAGTCCTGCCGACCGGCTGGTCGGATGGGGGACCTGACCTGCAGCCTGACGCGCACTGAGTGGATGCACCTGGAGTGCTGCCGACCGGTTGGCCGGATGGGGGTCCGTGACCTGCTCCTGACCAGCAGGTGCGCTGAGTTGATGCACCTGGAGTCCTGCCGACCGGCTGGCCAGATGGGGGTCTGGGAGCTGCACCTCATGCGTGCTGAGTTGATGCAGCTGGAGTCCTGCCGACCTGGTCGGATGGGGGACCTGACCTGCAGCCTGACGCGCACTGAGTGGATGCACTCCTGCCGACTGGTTGGCCGGATGGGGGTGTGTGACCTGCTCCTGACCAGCAGGTGTGCTGAGTTGATGCACCTGGTCTTGGACCTGCACCTCATACGTGCTGAGTTGATGCACCTGGAGTCCTGCCGACCGGCTGGTCGGATGGGGGACCTGACCTGCCGCCTGACGCGCCTGCACCTGACCTGCAGCCTCGTGCATGCTGAGTTGATGCACCTGGAGTCCTGCCGACCGGCTGGCCGGATGGGGGACCTGACCTGCAGCCTGACGCGCACTGAGTGGATGCACCTGGAGTATTGCCGACCGGTTGGCCGGATGGGGGTCTGTGACCTGCTCCTGACCTGCAGCCTGATGCGTGCTGAGTTGATGCACCTGGTCTTGGACCTGCACCTCATGCGTGCTGAGTTGATGCACCTGGAGTCCTGCCGACCGGCTTGTCGGATGGGGGACCTGACCTGCCGTCTGACGCGCCTGCACCTGACCTGCAGCCTCGTGCATGCTGAGTTGATGCACCTGGAGTCCTGCCGACCGGCTGGCCGGATGGGGGACCTGACCTGCAGCCTGACGCGCACTGAGTGGATGCACCTGAGTATTGCCGACCGGTTGGCCGGATGGGGGGTCTGTGACCTGCTCCTGACCTGCAGCCTGATGCGTGCTGAGTTGATGCACCTGGTCTTGGACCTGCACCTCATGCGTGCACCTGGAGTCCTGCCGACCGGCTGGTCGGATGGGGGACCTGACCTGCCGTCTGACGCCCGCTGAGTGGATGCACCTGCAGTTCTGTCGACCGGTTGGCCGGATGGGGGTCTGGGACCTGCACCTGACCTGCAGCCTCGCGCGTGCTGAGTTGATGCACCTGGAGTCCTGCCGACCGGCTGGCCGGATGGGGGACCTGACCTGCAGCCTGACGCGCACTGAGTGGATGCACCTGGAGTATTGCCGATCGGTTGGCCGGATGGGGGTCTGTGACCTGCTCCTGACCAGCAGGTGTGCTGAGTTGATGCACCTGGTCTTGGACCTGCACCTCATGCGTGCTGAGTTGATGCACCTGGAGTCCTGCCGACTGGCTGGTCGGATGGGGGACCTGACCTGCCGCCTGACGCGCACTGAGTGGATGCGCCTGGAGTCCTGCCGACCGGTTGGGCGGATGGGGGTCTGGGACCTGCACCTGACCTGCAGCGTAGTGCGTGCTGAGTTGATGGATGTGGAGTCCTGCCGACCGGCTGGCCGGATGTGGGTCTGAGACCTGCACCTGACCTGCAGCCTGACGCGTGCTGAGTTGATGCACCTGGAGTCCTGCCGACCGGCTGGCCGGATGGGGGTCTGGGACTTGCACCTGAGCGGCAGCCTGATGCGTGCTGAGTTGATGCATGTGGAGTCCTGCCGACCGGCTGGCCGGATGTGGATCCTCGACCTGCACCTGACTTGCAGCCTGACGCGTGCTGAGTTTATGCACCTGATTAGGGTCTGGGACTTTGGGCACCTGACCTGCAGCCTGACGCGTGCTGAGTTGATGCACCCGGAGTCCTGCCGACCGGCTGGCCGGATGGGGGTCTGGGTCCTTGAGCACCTGATCCATGCTGAGTCGATGGGCAGTGTTGAGTTGTCCTGCTGACCCGTTGGCGGGATGGGGACCTGGAGGCTTGGGCGCGTCCAGCTGTTGGCCGTTCTGCTGTGCACATGGAAGGCATGGAACGGCGAAGGGAACGTCGCCTAACCCGAGGTTCGGCAGGGCACCGTCCTCGACGGATAGGCCGTTTTCACGCTGTGCAATGGACTCCCACTCCTTAACAACCCTGTTAACCTGCCTACGGTGTTTGTTTTCCAAAGCCTTCAGGTTTGGGATAGTTGGAGGAGACCCCTTGTCCACACAGTCAAAAACTGTACAATCATCCGCCTCTATACACACGCGACTAGCATCCTGTTCAACAAAAAGGACTTGAAGAGGGAAGTGATGCTGCTTCTGGTAAACTCCAACATCATGACCCGGCAAACCGTTCGTCCCCTGGCATCCGATTTCAACGAAGATCAATCCCGGATCAACACAGGCCCCATCATGAAAGGATCTACAGGCGATCTCCGTTGCCTCCGGATGCACCGAGCTCCGGTTCACTGGACTGCGTTCTGCACTGCCCGCACCGGCGTCTTCCTCGGGACGCCTGGGGTCTGCAAATTCTGTCAAGTCAAAACCAATGTCCTGGAACTTGACCTGGTAGGAGAGGACCAAAGCTATGGTCTCTGCTCTCGCAGGGTGCACATAGTTGTCCTCGTCACAAACTGAGTGCCGTGGAGTGGCCACGCGTCTCAGCTTCTCGTACTCAACAGATGATTTCCCACCATCTGGAGTAGCATGCCTGCGGGGTCCCTTGCGGCTCGGCCGCAGGCTTAGCTGGGGACTGACTTGGCATCCTCGGCGCCCTTGCTCATCTCGGGCTCCTTGCCTTCGTGTCCTCGTCGTCGGGGGGTCCTTTCCCTTTCCGCGCCAGCTGTAATTTCCTTGGCAGCATGAAGGGCCTGCACCAGAGTCGCTTGTTGCTTCTCCAGCGCCGTTTGCCGCGCCTCCCTGGCGGCAATGCGTTTGGATTCCTCTTCTGCTGCATCTGCCACAGCTGCTTCTGATACTTCCATGGCGTCCTCTTCGGTTTCGAGATCTATCACACCATCCGGCGCTGCCTTGTCGGCAGCAAGTCTGGCAAGCTGCTTCGAAGTTTCCACAAAGCGTTGCGTCCAATTCTCTTCGGCAGCGTCGTAGGCCTGTAGGGCTTGTGCACGTTCTTCCGTCTGTTGCGCCACCAACCCCAGAAGGTCCTGTATGTACTGGTTCCATCCTGTACAGAAGGTGGCTCTTTCTGTGCGCAGTTTGCCAAGCTCCCGCTTCGCTTCTGCTTGCCTGGCCACGATTCTGTGTAGCTCGCGGCTCTGCGCTTTCTCGTCTTCGACACGGTAGTGCTCTAACTGCTGAGCCAACTCTGGCGGTAGCTCCGTGGTGGGGCCCATGTGCGCCACCAGTGCCTCCAGCAGCTTGCGCTCCGAGGTCGTACTGCTGGTTGGCGGTGTTGCTGGTAGCCCGCTTCTTGGCGGCACTGCTATGGTCGTCGGTGGCGGCTCGGGCAGTGCTGCAAGTGACGGTGGCTGCTTGGCTTCCTCGACCGCACCCTTTCCTGTCACCTTGCTCTTGCCTTTTGCCGGTCCCGCAACCGACTCTGTCACGTGCTGTCCAGCTCCTTTGCCTGGGCGCCGGGGTGACTTCGGTGCCCTGCGCCGC